GTTCCACAAAATCATCAGGAAAAGCTTTTTCTGTGTGCGGGTGCTGGAGCCCTGGCCCAGGCTGCCCAGGGAGGGTGTGGAGTCTCCTGCTCTGGAGACTTTGCAACCCGCCTGGACGCGTTCCTGTGGGACCTGCCCTGGGTGACCCTGCTCTGGCAGGGGGTGGCACTGGGTGATCTCTAGAGGTCCCTTCCAGCCCCAACATTCTGTGATTATTCTAACATACCATGATGAATAGTAACTGATCTGGATCAGCATTTTTTTTAGACTAGATACAGCCATCTGAGAGGATATAGTAGGAACATTAAGTAAATGGGTTTATATTTTTGATAACACTTTAAGATTGTTCCAAGTTTACAGTATGTGCATTTTATGAAATAATAGCAAAAAATAATTACCAGTAAAGTTGGCATGGAGTTCAGTCCTTTGCTGTGACAAACAGATCAATCCAGATCAATCCCTTATAGCTGTGAAGCATATGACTTTGTGTATTGAGTATTTTAACATTGCCCAGCACCATCTAGCGTTGACCATTATTAACAATATTTTGTTCCATATGCCTGGAAAGAATAGCGATGGAGTAAATTAGATCATTACATTACACTGTGGTTTATTTTTCTGTGTTCTGATGGTGTTTTCTACTAGTATCTCTCCTGCTTGGTGTCTTAGTAAAACCCCGATGAAAGATATTGTCAAATGTCATCTGAATCACAGGGGGTTTGTTTCACTCTTATGTGTTATGTAACACAGGAAAAGAAACTATAGGGAGATGGAGCCCAGGTGTTTACATTTAGAATGTGGTTTTGATTGTAGTTTGCAGTGACTATGTTGTTGAAAAAGTAGAAAATCATGTTTCATTTGGGGGAGAGCCAAGTTAGTTAAAAAGTTTAAAACCATCAGAGTGACAAAAGAATTACAATGATGAGTTACACAGCTTGAAGTTCTGAACTTGTGTAGTAACTTTGTTCTCAGTGCAGTTTATCTTGCTGCTTTGCAGAAGTCATGCCTTACCTAGTTTGACGATCTGAGCGCTATCCGCTTACACGAGGCATAGAAGAAAATGGAAGAAGATGAGACTTTAGGAGCTGAAACTGAAAGGGCAACAGTTGAAGCACGTGCTACTCCTGAGGCTGGTCGGCAGATCTCAGTCAGTGAGTTCCTTTGTCACTGCTGTTACGATATTCTGGTCAATCCCACCACCCTGAACTGTGGGCACAGCTTCTGCAGGCATTGCTTAGCCTTGTGGTGGGTGTCGTCCAAGAAGAACGAATGCCCCGAATGCAGAGAAAAATGGGAAGGGTTCCCCAAAGTCAACATCCTTCTCAGGTGAGTGTACGACGCCATTTGGAATTTCTGAAGTGACCAAAATTAATTGTCTGGTTTCTTGAGCTCGCTACAGATTTTCATAGTTTATGAGTAATCTGAACTGTCGCAAGGATGTTTAAATCCTGAAATCTTCCATGTTCTGCACTCGTACTGAACTGTTGAAGCACATTTTTCTGCATGGAACTAAGGGCTGACTTTGGTTTGAGTTTTGTAGTGTTGGCTTTTCCCCTTCTGAATTTTTTGGGGGGTTGAGAGGAGGGATCCTTTTTTAGTATTAAGACACTTGCACCTTTTAATACAGTTGCTTGTTTCCTAGTAATTCTAAGTTACAGTGATCTTTCATAATTGTGTCATTTCTGTAATAGGAGTTATTTATAGGAAGAAATGGGATGTTATTGTAGAACAAAGCTAGCAGTAGCAACTTGCTGTCTTGTCTTGTGTTAATAGTCCTTTACCGTAGGTTAGCAATATTTTCATGAATGGTGGGTAGGACTGATGGTAGGTGTCAGGGGTTAGGTTAGCTGAAAATAAAATCATTGGACAGAATTGGTTCTGTTTAGCTCATTCCAGGACAGTAGGCTTTTGTGTTTGCTTTCACATAGCATTTTTGAATAAGCAGGGCTTGCCAGTAGCACACACAAGTCTAGTTTTATATGAGAAATAAGGATTTTAGGGGGTTTTATGTGCTTTTTTTCTTTTTTAATTTATCTTTAAAAGCTAAGGAAAATGTTGTATAGCAGTAATTGATTTAAGTTTGACTTTATAAATAATTAATGTTCATGGCAGTCTTTAGCAGAGGCTGGAAAACAAAAATCCCCAAATTAATCCCTTTTCTGAATGTTAAGCCTCAGTGGTTGTACTACAATGACAAATATTTTTCCCATTAGGGATGTTATTGAAAAGCTATTTGCCGATGCCATTGAACAAAGAAAAGAAGATATTCAACAAAGCAGTGATGTAGCACGCAGCTTAGCAACCTTCCAAAGATATGGGAATGACCAGATCCCTGCAGTTCTGAACACAGGAAGAATTAATCCTCGAGGAGGAGGGTTTTTCTCAGGCGTTCTGACAGCTTTAACTTGTGTAGCAGTAAGTTTCGTCTGGTTGGTTTTCCGTATTTGCTTCATTAAGCTTGCAATCAAATATACTGAAATTATTTGCATATTAAAAAGGTCATCATCACAGATGAGACTTTATCTGTGGGGTTGAATAAGGCAGCATTCAGACTTGTCTGTCAGGAACTGCAACTGCCATATGTAGCAAGTGGAAATTAGACCAATTGGATAAAACTTCAAGATACTTTGTTATAACCTGAATATTCTAGGGTTCATAAAACGGAAGGTGCTACATGTTAAGCCCCTGAAGGCATTTTTATTCCTATCATTAATGTATTTACTTTGCAGATGAAGGATCTCTTTTTATCCTTTTTTCTTAAAATCTACCTATAGGTAGTTCTACTTGGATACCACTGGAGTAGCAGAGAATTTGAAGAAGATCATCTTGTCCACAAGGCCGTTGCTAAATGGACTGCTGAGGAAGTGGTACTTTGGCTAGAGCAGCTGGGCCCGTGGGCTTCACTTTATAAAGAACGATTTTTACTGGAGAAAGTGAATGGGAGGTGAGAGGCCTGATTGTCTGGAACAGCTATCCCTTAGCTTTCCTTAGCGATAGGGTGTGGGGAAACGGCAGCACTTCGCTCTGTAGGTTGTGTGTGTGTTCTCTTGACGGGTCAGAATAAAATTCAGGGGAAGTTTTAACACTTGAAAACTTTTGTAGTAGATACTAAGCAAGCCAACTCAAAGTATTCCAAGATTTTTTTTAAATGCTAACAATACAGACTGAAATGATGCTGAAAGTAAAATTCTACTACGGCATTATCCATGTCTCACACCTTTTCTTTCATGTGCAAATACTCATGTGTTACACACGTTGTGCATTCTACCTGAGAGCTCTAGGTTTGATTTCAGGAGACCAGACTAGATCTGTGAAGTAGGGAAGAACTGTAATAGCCAGCAAGCTGATAGCCTGCATGCTGAAAGCAGGAGGAAACGTGAACAGAAGAATTTTTAAAACCCAGGCTCTGAGCCACAGCTGATTTCAGAGCGCTTACAGAATGTAATCCAAAGGGTGATGCCTTCTATGAGTAGCTTACTGGTTCGGTATGTAACTGCTAATTTGTTAGTCATATGTGTTTGGTGACCAGGCACTTTACCTTCTGAATCTTCTGTTTTTGTAGACTCCTTCTAACTCTGACAGAGGAGGATTTCACAAAAGAGCCTTATAGTATAGAGAACAGTAACCATAGAAAAGCTATTACGGCGGAACTGGAATGTGTGAAATCTTTAGGTGTTAAACCACCACAGAACCTTTGGGAATATAAGGTAAATTTTATATAAATGTCATGCATACTAAGTATTTTTAGTATCTTTTTAAAGAAAAATCTTTTAAAGATAAGAGGAGTGTTAAGGTAGTAGAATTGAATCTGTAGAAACTGCTCGGTTTAATGTAGATTCATATTTGAAACATGAACCTTTGAAAAATGAGTCAGAAAAATCTAAGAACTGGAACATCCCTCTCATTTTTTCATTGTTTGAGACTTGATAATTTGATACCTTTCAGGCAGTAAATCCAGGAAAATCACTCTTTCTTCTGTATGCACTGAAGAGTTCCCCAAGACTCAGTATGTTATACCTGTATTTGTTTGATTACGCAGAAGCTTTCCTACCTTTCATCCACACAGTTTGCCCTAGGCAAGAGGATAAGCATGAAGATACCTTCACAAAACTGCTAGTAAGTGTTCAAAACATTAAATATGCTCCTTTAGGTATAAGTGTTTTAAGACTAACTGCAAAAACATTGTATCATTATTCAGTTTCAACTCTACAACTTTAAAAAAAATCCTCCAAAGGAAGTTGTTTCTTGATTTTATTGCACGGGATCACCAGTGTTGTGGCCATTAGCTTTAATAAGATTTGTTTAAGGTTTTAAGACTTCAAATCTGTGAAACCATTTATTATTTTTTTTAAGATCATGGGACTACATAAAAGCTATACTCTCAAAATACCTGTATTTTAACAAATGTCATAATAAGGTCTCCTTGTCTGTGATGTTTTATTCTAATCTAATGGGAATTCCAGGGTATTACCTACCAGAAAGCATAGTAAAGATAAATTACTGCTTTCAATATATGAAGAGAAATTTTCTACAAAAGATTAGTGGGAATAAGCCAGCATTGTGTCCGTTTAATAGAAAATTAACAGTCTTTTTATCTTAATTTACAGGACCTTAAAGATCCTTCTTGGAAACAATGGCGGGAATTCATTGTTAAGTATTTATTTTTGCCATACCAGCTGATAGCTGAATTTGCTTGGGATTGGCTGGATGTGCACTACTGGACATCAAGATTTATAATTGTAAATGCCATGTTGCTCTCTGTTCTGGAACTATTCTCCTTCTGGAGGCTCTGGTCAAGAAGAGAATTGAAGTAAGTCTTGCTGAGCTTGTTGAAGAGGGTGGGAAGCACAGGGCCTTACAGATACAAAGTAACAGTGGTAGTGACAGCGTGTAACTGCAACTCTGAGGTCAATAACCCCTGATTCTGAACCCACACCTGCACTAGCAGTCACTCCAGAACGTTTCTGTGAACACCTGAAGGGTTTCTTCTGGCTGGTTTCACTGACTAGATATAGCAGATGCATTAAAGGTAATGAGTGTGTTCTTAATCGCTGGGTAAATATTCACTCTTACCCCGAGAATTGCTTTTCATGGTAGCGGGTACTAGCTGTCAGCTGGGAACTCAATACCTGCGAATGTTGTCACTGTCAGGTTGTTACGGGATGAGTCCTCAGGTTCATGAATAAGTTCAGTTACACTGATAATTTCTGACAGGTGATCCAAATCGCTGTTTTCAGTTACTGCTTTTGTCTTAATGCAAGCATATTAATACAGTGTCATAATTGCTCTGATCCTTTAGTGATGGGTTTAGAACTTGCCTGGTTGAAGCCCTTGTTTGGCCTGTGCTGGGTTTTCACTCCCTCTGCCAGCAGCAAGGGGGCAGACCGCGCCCAAAGGAGCTGGGGGTGCCTGGAGGGGGGACCTGACCGCTTGAACTTGCTCTGCTTTGTGTTCCGAATAAAGTGACTTCATGCTTCCTCAGAGCAACTCTGGTATTGCTGTATTTTAAGGAAGTTTTCCTGGAGTGCAGAATGGTGTTTTAGAGGCACCTGAGGAAGGGCTACATAACTTGAGGCTGCAGCACGGAATAGCTTTGCTCAGAGTGGGTAAAACCAAAGCACAACATCCCTCTAAGCCTCTCCTTTTCCTTTTTCACAGGACTGTTCCGCACAGAATGTGGAGACATTTCTGGAAAGTCTCAACACAGGGACTTTTTGTTGCCATTTTTTGGCCTTTTATTCCTCAGTTTGTCTGTAACTGTTTGTTTTACTGGGCCTTGTACTTTAATCCAATTATCAACATTGATCTGGTGGTTAAAGAACTAAGGCGTCTGGAGACCCAAGTGCAATGACTGGCATTGGAACTTTGGAGCTGTTTACCTTCTAAAGATGGACGTTTGCTTTTTTCTTTATATATGTGGCAGTGAAAGTGGTGGATTCTGTTAACTTAAAAAAGCCTTAAGGTAAGTTACCATTAAACCAGCTGATTCCAAATCTGAGGTTGGGCTTTATTATCTGAAAGGAATTTTCTATTAGGAAAAATAACCAACCAACCAACCATTCCTGATTTAGCTATGTAAAACTTGTATGGTCATGCCACCCTATTTTTGATCAGCTGAAACTTCTTTATTCTGCCTTGGGCATTCTGTTTATTTTCAAATCTGCCTTAAAATCAGGGTCTTCTGAACAGCTACGGTGATTTTTTTTTTTTATTATTTCTTTTTTTTATCTTAGTATTTCATACCAGCAGTGTGTTCCTCAGGTTTGCCAAAGGAGAGCTTTTTGTGTGTAGGCTTGGTATTGAAAATACTTCAGTGTTTTCAGTCTACATACACAGTCTCACAGTAGAGTTTGTTCTAAAATTCCTGCTATTGAAGGCTAAGTCTGCTTGAGTTTTCTTGTTTTTTGGAAAATGTGATGATTTGTGTTTAAAACTTTATTCAGATCAGTCAGACTTGATCAATAGCTGCTTTAATGCTCTCCTTGAAGTTTCTTGCCAGTTCTTAGTTTCACTATTATTTCTTAAAAGGGATTATTTTGGAAAAGTGACCTCACACTGTAATTACATCTTACAGCAATATAGTGCATGTATCTAGATCTGTGAGCAAGCATTGACTGGAAAGTTATTTTGTGTAAACTGGATTGCCTTTTGTTAATGTATGGGTTTTGACTGAAGCAAAAGTTAGATATTTTTTTTGAGAGCTTTGTCCCCTTGCATTCTATGCTGGTTTGGGAGTTTTTCATTTGTATTAAATTTGCCTATGGATATTTTTAAGATTAAAGATTGCTCTTTGAAATCTTCATCCTTCCTAAAGCAGTGGGTTTTGGTTTTGTTTCTTATATATTGAAGTACTTGTCATTAGCTCTGGCTTGTGCAAACTTGTTGTGTAGTACTGAATCTTTAAGGTGAGGTGGGTAAAAGCAGAAGTAAAGCACTCCTGGTTCTTAAGCTGTAAAAATCAGCAGTTATGACAAGTGCATTATTCCGCAATTTCTCTCCCTAAAAGGTTCTCTCCCTTCAAAAAACTGTGCAGTGACCCTTGCTAAGACCGTCTTTACACCCTTGGGAAGTACATACATTCTGAACTTTGCAAAGTCGTGCTGTCCAAGATCAGACACTTCAGGGAAAGGCAGTGGGTCCCAGGGTCTGCGACTTTTCTCATGTGTCTATCCTGGTGATGGTTTGCATTTGCACTTTTCAATATTGCTCTGAAGTTTTATGGGTAGAACTTCTCCCTGGCCCCAGAGGAAACTCAAGGTGTACATAGAGTAAGGAGCTTGAGCCATATCAAATGAACAGCTTCTTGGAGAGCTGTAATTAAGGAGTAAATACTAGAAAAAAAGAATCCTATTAAGTATTTTTTAATACAAGTAGGACTACTTAAGTTGAATGAAATGCAGAAGTTAAATTAGGCTTCATAATAAGTGTTTAATATAGATGAGAGGGCTCTTCGTACTGATACGATCACTTCATGTGTTTATTCTGGTCAGTGCAAAGTTAACAAATGTTAAAATACATGTTAGTGAAGAAGTTTGATTCATATCTTGTAGCCAGTGGAGGTGGGATGAAAAGTTTACATTGAATTATATTGTGAATCTGAATATAAACAAAATTAATTTTAAGTCCTTAAGCTGATAAAATCCTTAAAAAAACAAATCCACTCCTTAAGCTGATAAAATCAATTCCTATTAGTCAATAAAAGCTGACACAGAACTAATGATCTTGCTTTTAGTCCATGCACTGTAGAAGGTAAGTAAGAGGATAAATGTTGACTTTGGCCGGTCTGAGGTGGCAGGAAGGAGGATCGAAAGAGGGGAAAATGATTTGTTGTCACTCTTGTGACCCCCCCCAAAAAAGAAGTTATTTTAGATTTAAATACATACAGAGTTTTCATCAAAACGGATGTTGTGTCTAATGCCTGCACAAAGGCTGAATCTCCCCACACATGAAGTCTGGCCACAAAAGGTATTTTGTGTGATACGGAGCTTTAGAAAAACATCTGGCAGCTTCACGGTCACATTCACATGCCATTTTTTGACATCTGTCCTCTAGTGATTCTGAAAGAAAACACAGTAAGTTCGATGTTAGTCTGAAGTAATCGAAAATACCAAATGGAATACCGAGACCTCCTACCTCAGTGTTACGTTTCAAATGCAATAGCAACTGTTGTGAGCTTTAGTAAGACTTAGAGTTCCTCTGGGGTCCTCCGACAGCGCTCCGTGCCAGGATGTGTCGGCAACAGAGAACGGACAGGCAGGGGTTGGCTTAGCAATAACCAGTGGAAGCATCTGGGCAGATGAAAAGACAATAACTGGAAAAAGACTTAATGCTCTTCTTCATGTGCTTGAGTAAAGGAACTCTGAGGGTGTAGTCCTCTTCAGCAAGTGCTCTGGGACCCTCCCTGCCTGGCCTCTTGCTCGAGCGCAGCTTGGGTTGGCGGACGTTGTCCATTTCACACGTGCTTTAGTCTGCTAAAGGATGGAGCTTTAAAACTGTGTGGGAAATAAGGGATGCAAAGATGTGCCCTGTTCAGCTTAAATCACCCACCTTTTTAATTAGGGCATTCAGCAAGAAGTTAGGTGAAGTGTCTTTAAGTACAATAAAATCTGTGTCTGGCCATATTTGTTTTATAATTGTAGTGTTGTGACTTAACAGATTTCTTGGCATGATCGTTTCTTCTTGGCACGAACATTTTTTTCTACAGCAATATATTTTTATTTTATTGTGCCAACCCAGAAATGTGTGGGTCTTTTTCTCTCTGCAACTGTCAGTAAACTGAAGAATCCTTCCTTATATTTTGTCTGAGTATTTAATATCTTGAAAGCTTAGCTGAATCTCTGCCTAGGCACGGAACAAATGTTCAGTTTTGTGAATGAACTAAAATTCTGCTGTGAAATAGAAATGTTCTTAATGTATGTATGTTGACGCCGCAACCAGCTGCTCTAAGAACTACTCAATAGCATAAGTAGCATAAACAACAGGACAGGATTAAAAATAAAATAGCAGCCAAAAATCAACATTAACTGAGAGGAACTATTCCTTCTCTTCTTACTGCTCCAGACTTAAGCTTTTCCGTGATACACCAGTGACACTTTGAGCTTTGTGGCTGACTTGCCTACTGTCTCGGCCACTATTTTAAAATAGTGTCAGCTTCTGGATTGGAACAGGAGCAGAACTTTTGCAGCCAAGTATGGGTGGATGTAACCTGACGGTTAATTGGAGAGTGTGAGAGCGAGGGTGCTTGGTACTGCTGGAGCAGAGGACGAGATGAGGCAGTAGAAATTTTGCAGGAGGTAGACACTCAGGCAAAGTAAAGGTTTAATGAGAAGGAGGAAAGGAAATAGTGTGACCAAATTTATTTCGGATCAGGCAAATTCTAAATTGAGTTATGAAATGAGAGGCTCTTGTGTTTTCTCTGAATGGCCAGCTGGGTTGTGTTTGAAGTACAGTAGTCAGAAACTTGGGCTCCTCAACAACTTTCTGTAGGGGTCTGCAATTTTAAGCAAACAATAACCAGTTCTCCAACTGATTTGCGTTCTAGGTAGTAGCATAAAATAATATGCAAAGTAACTGACCTAGCACCTGATGAAAAACCAAACCAAAACCATAACCAAGCAACACACAAAACAAACAAAAAGCCAAAAACCTGCAGATCTTGGGGGGCTTGTGAAAAGTTAGTTTCAGAAAGTCTTTGAAGTGTGTTGGAAAATACTTGGTAAAACTTTGGGAGCTGTGAATGAATGACCAAATTAAAAGACATGCTGCTTTTTCCCATTAAATATTTTTTGTTGTTTGTCTCTCTGAGATCTCTTTGTCCTTCTCTTTCATACTACAGCACGTAGTTCATGTTTTGGAGCCGCTGAACCAAACTGATCGGGATGTGTTCAGCTGTCTGTTGCAACTTGTTATGTAAATGTTTTCAAATTAACATTTTGTGGCTTGTGGACATGGTGCTTCCATGAGTAAACATCCTCATCAAGTATTTTAGTACCTCAGGGTTTGAAACTGTACATTGTGAGTTCAGTTATGAATTGCAACCACTAGTAGTGGGCTGTCCAACTGAGCAGTGCTTAGTATCCCCAAAACTCGTCCATCGTAAACTTGTAAATGGAGTGAAATATTTTCTGCTAAGTATGAAAAGGATCCTTTTTAAACAATCATCATTTTCTCGCCTCCTGTTTGCAGCTGCTTTCCAGTTGATAGCCTGCAGGGAGTAGCATAACGTGGGTTCTTCAACATACATAAATGCAAGGAAAAAGAGGAGGGTTGTTGTTAGTGGTTTTTGAAAGGGCAGTAGAAGGCTGTAGATCCGAATTTTGTTTGCTTATGTGTGTCAGTAGGTTAGGGATTGAGAAGAAGCAACTGCCTTCAGCTGGTTGGCATAGCCGTGCCTTCTGGAGGCACAGCTTACCTGGAAAAAAGTCACAAAAGGAAGGATGGTAAAATAAGAATTTTACAGCTAATGAAGAAACACTTTCTGCTAAGGCAATGGGAGGATTAGTAGAATTAAAGAACCAAAATGTAACAACGTATTCCCCCCAAAAACAAGCAAACAAAGCCCTAGAACTGCTTGCTCACCACACACAGCAGCATGGTCTTCGCATTCCCAGCGGTAACTTTCTGTCTTTGGGTGACACCCTGCTTGTTCTGCCTTCCCGTAGCAGCAGTCGTGGTTAAAGCAGCACCTGGGAGGAACAGAGTGGGCTTCCCTTACTTCATGCTGGGGTGAGTTATGGTCACGTAGTCTGCAAGGGTTTTACCAGCATATTTCTACAGGCTGTGAAAAACAGTCGACATACGCAAACGTACACATAGTTACCTGCTCAGGAATCAAACCAGGGTAATTGATAGATGACCTGGAGAAAATTATTACTCTTTCATGTGATCAGCAATGAGGGAAAAATCTGATACACGTTGATCTAGTTGCACTCTCTCATAGCTGAAAATACAAGGAAGCTTTAACGCGTTCTCAGTTTCAAACACCATTAACGTTTATGCAGGTACACCTCCCTCCCAGCCCCTTCCAAGGAAAAGACAAAGTGCCAAAAGAGACTGTCAGTTAACAAATTACGTGTTTTTCTGCCAGTTATTGATGCTATTGTAACAGTTACTGACAGGGAACGGACAAGAAGATTTGTTAGGCCATGGCATATTATCATAAATGTCTTGTAGCAAAGCCCTTTGGTGGGAGAAGAGCTGAGAACAGTTAAAATGGTCAGGAATGAGTAGGCGTGGGTGCTGTTTAATACCATAATAGGACTAAAACTTTTTTGTTTGGTATTGTGAGAAAATGTGGAACATTGCCCAAACTAGTTACTTCAAATTTGTCCTTATCATAATTAGGACAATGAATTCAGAGTCTTTCTATCATATTGTGGAACTCAACGGTGCAAATGGTGTATTTTAATGCTTAAAAAAAGAATTATTCTTCTGGTCTAGAGTCCCTTGAAGCCCAGAGTAGCAAGTAGGGGAGGTAACAAGGGCCTGAAATTAGGTAACTTCCAAGGTTTTGCTGCAAACTATCAACACTGTCTTTTTTGACTTGGTGGAAGAACACGGTGTACCCGCGATCTCTTACATTTAGTCATTCAGCATCCTCCTGGTGGCCTAAACCCATGATATTACAGTAGGTACATGGCACTTAGATGGTGTTGAGATTGCCTGAGGAATTTGTGTCTGCAATAGAAAAATCAATGCTGTGAGCTCTCGCTTGCAATTACTGTTTTTTCCTATGCTTATTAAATAATTACTTGGTAATTCCCTGCAAAGTGTCATTTAAAGATCCTGTGGTACATAACAGTTGAACAGTGCGTGCTTGTGAAGTAGTTTAATACATCTGTTTCATGGACAGAAATAAAACTAAATTCTAGTGTCTTTGTAGCAGTAGTAAGGTAAATAAACTGGGAAATATGGCTTCTTTTGCTATAATGCAGTCTATCTTTGTGTATTTACAATAATTTTTAGAGTTACTTTAGTCCTCTCAAGCATTTAAAATAAAAAGTAGATCCTTAAGGATTTTATATTTTATTGGATGAAAGCAATATATGTTTGCCTGCATTTGAAAGTTTATTTTTAGAAGTGGTAGGCAAGAATCAAAATGGCAATAACTATTGTTGGACTAAGTCATTACAGATGTTCTTTCTTCAGACTAAGTACATCTGTGTTTTCACTTAGATAATTCTGAATGTAAACAGAATCTCAGAATTAGCGAGGCTGGAAAAGACCTGGGAGATGGCCGAGCGCAGCCACAGTGTAGCTCAGACCCTGCTGGTGAGACGTTTGTCTCTCTGTTCAATTGGCGCGTTTCAAAGGTGGCCGAGGCTGCGGGCTCCCTGCCGGCTTGTTCTTCGTGTCTGGTGGCTCTTCACTAACTGACCGGGTTTGGTGCAGGAGCAGCCTCTTGCTACTTGTGGAACTCGTACGAAATGAAGAAATGGGCTGCGATGGGCAAGTGCCAGACTGCAGGGCGTCCAGCGTGGCCTTTGGGCGTCCACATCACCACAACTCCCACAGCCCCTTTTTCTGGGCGTTCCCAGTGGTTAAAGTAGCAAATGCATTCTGCACAATTGTCTTCAAAATAACAGATTACACATCCAAAAACCTTGAAGTACGTAGGCAAGGATTTGTAGAGTTTTAGGCCTAATCATGACTAGAATCTTTATGCAGAAAAAAAAATATCAAAAAAACCTCCCAACACAAAAAACTGCAGATTTGAACTTTCCATGTATTCTACCCTAACTGTGAGTATGAGACATTTGATTTCCTTTTAACTTAAAATACATGTCTGATAAATCAGAACTTGAGAAGTCACATGTGGTGCAGAAATGTCTTGTTATATTGAAAAAGCTGAAAATATAAAACCTTTATTTAACTACTGTAGCCAGAAAATCATCTTCCTGTGAGCTAATGTTCAATTATAATTTAAATTGATGGTGCTCAGGATACTGAAATACAATACACTGAAATAATTAGTATTAAATACAAAGGTCTGGTTTTAGAATTTAGTAACAATTCATAATTCCTTTTATTTAAAAGTTATTTTTCACCATGCTGAATACTGCAACTTTTTCTCTGTATTATTTTGAATACTAATAAAGTGGCATGGAGGGTAGTAGAATCAGAAGATTTTTTCAATTGCATTTTTTCATTTTTACTTTTTTAGGTAGCTTGGATGTTTGAGCTTTAAAGATTCTCCAGGAAGACACTAGCTCTCCAGCTCTTGGATGTTTGAGCTTTAAAGATTCTCCAGGAAGACTTTAGCTCTTCAGCTCTTGGCCAAAAAGCAGCAGTGATCAGCCTTAGTGGTAGCAGGCACATAGGGCTTGTGTAAATCTCAAGTAACTCAGTTGTAACACTCCAGAGTTTCTTAGCACTCTGAGGTATGTTTAAACGTGGTTTCCTCACTGATGTTAAACAGGCCTAATTCAGGTTTTTGTCCTTTTACTCTATCTGCATACGTTCAGCACTTAATTACTCAGATAAATGCTCTTACCAGTCTACTCTGTCCTTGGGCCAGCCTCTTCCTCCCAGACCGCAGTAGCATCCGTAACGGAGGTAAGCAAAAGGAGATCGGCCGGTGGTACATCTGATGGCTCCAGCTAGTTCTAGAATTCCTCTTCGATTTCTAAAATGGGCTTCCCCAGAAGTGCCTCTAGAGACTGGAAGAAAAACTCTTTTTACTTTTTTTATTGAATCAAACATACAGATACAGAACAGTTTGTTTGGGGTTTTACCTTTGATAGCAAAGGTTAGCACTTGGAAAATAATACAGGGGCGGGTTGACACTTTGAGGCCACGCTCCTTGACCCAGCCCGTGTCTGCCCCGGTCTGCAGGGAGCAGACCCTGCGCCGCATTCGGAACAGCTGCCCTGGTTTCTTCCCATCGAGGCAGCAAACAACGGCCGGCTTCAGTCATTTCCAGGCGTCAATCTGGCAAGGGCGAGCGAGCGTTCTGTGATCTCGCTCCCCTGATCTGCTGAGTTTAGACACCCGAAGCATTGCAGTGTTTTCTCCTTCTCCTAACGTGCAGTTTTGCCCATGTTTCCTTGTAAAATGTCATGCTCTGCGTTTGAACAAACAGGCCGCCTGTGACGGGTTTTCCTCAGTTCTAGACAAAAGCCAAACAGCGGTGGGAGGGGTGTAGAGCACAGGAAGGGGCATTGCCAGGGCAGTTGAAAGGGTTGGGGGGGTTGGGTTTTTTTTCTCCAGAAGAGACTGTGTTTAGGAACTTCATTTTAGCTGCCCTGTGTCAGTACTAAAGCAGTAGGTGCGGGCGGTCGCTAAATGTTGAGACAGCAGGTGACTTTTTTTTAGGGCTTCACGTCATCCTTGAGGCTGAGTTAACGGATCCAGGTCCCTGAGCGGTAACGGGCAGCATTTCCTTGCCCTGCTCACTCCAAAGCTACCTGCGGCAAGTTTTAAGAGGTTTGGATGAGCACAAAACAAGTTAGTGGAAGGCTGCTGGTGGGAGTTGTCTTACTAATTCAACTAAGGATTTTTTTTGGTATGAGAACAGGTTATGAAGTTTATCTCCCAGTACTGGATACAGATTGGGAAAGACATTGGGATTTAATAACTGATAATATGGGAGGGAGAGAGCAGAAAAAATATTTAGACTTTGTCGTTGAAGGTCCTGATATTTGTTTTTCTGCAGAATAACTATATGATTATACAGTTTGTATATAATCTGTATAATAATACATGCTATTAAAATAGACTAACTAAAAGATTAATCTATTATAATAGATTTTATGATTAACTATAATCAGTTCATAGAAAATCTGCCAGAAAAAATACTGTTCCCAGCACAGTTGAGTAACTTGAAACGCGTGGGATGATGGTGACCTCTAGCACTCATAATTTCACGAAACAAAGGCATTTAAACACCTCGTGAAGTTGCCTCACTAAGAAATACAATTGGTTTGTATCTAAGAATGGTAAAAAAAGGTTTAGAGAGAATGTTTGCAGCTAATCCTTACTTATGAAAATATCTAGGCTTCCTAGGCCGACATTTAGCACTGTTCTGACTGGTGCCTGCTTCCAGATCTTGTTACTCCTGCTTTGTGGGCGTGTGATCTAGGGAGAGGGGAGCTGCACGTGCAACTTCGGCATATGCGTAGAGGAAAAAAAGACATTTTAGAAATACATGAATTTTTGGGGGAAACGTTGTAGTTCCCATAATGTTTTACTCTTTAATGGGCACAATGCAAACATAACAATTTTTGCAAATATATAATTATATTTTTTGAGACGCACAGCTTTGCATAATTATGATACACAACTACATTAATCATTAGCGTATAATACAGTCTATGTTCTTTCAAAGACTGAGACCACAGAAGCATTTTTTGATGTTAAATATGTGTAAAGTTTCCTATAGTGATATTTCCTTTGTACACGGTGTTCCAGTAATTCAGAACTTGAAACTTGGGAATAAGCAGACGGGCAGACTTTCTGATGCAGAAGTGGAAACCTTTGAACTATATGCATTATAGAACTTTTTTTTTTTTTGCTTAGCTTTTTTACCCCTGGTTTCATAAGCCATCAAGAACTGCCTTTTTTCTTGATCTTGTTGCCCAGACTACTGATGCACTATCTCCACAAACTCTGGTCACGTAAAATTTTTCTGAAAGGATGAATCTGCCTGTTTTCATACTGTGGTCCAAGCACTGAGGAAGAGGGAAATTGCATTTCCCTTCCTCCTCCCTGCCTGTGGGTGGGTGACTGTGGTGCCTGGCTCAGGACTCTGGGGACTGAAGGCAGGCTCTGCAAGGATCGCTTCGGGCTGGCAGAAGCCGTGAAAGACTCCTCCATCACTTTCCTTCGTGTTCTTGCTGAGGTTTGTGCTGTGGGAAGGATGAAGGCTGGAGGATGATCACGATGCAGAAGGCATAACCGGGGCATGCTGAGGTCAGGCAGGAGAACTGGGGCAGTGAGCTTGGTGGGACCTTAAGATGGCCCCATTATGCAAGCACCTCACCTTATGGGCTGTAATCAGTGATTGCCTCCCCCCGGACCCTGCTGTGCTCAGTGCACGGGAGCTGTTCCAAGAACGAATGGAGGCTCTTGTCCTGGGGATCCTTCTGCTGCAAGACTTGGTTTGGTGAATTTGCAAGCTATGTGGGAATGTATTAAACAAGTGCAAGAAGAGAGAAGAGAATCTCTTCATTAAGCCAGCTGAATGCTATTCTGGAAAAGTGGATTTTAGCCTTACAGCTGTCACAAAGGTTCAGCATGAGGTTAGTTTAATCACTTTAAAATAATACCTATTGATGTTTACTAATATTATGCTCCCAGCCTGCTGAATATCCTGGGGTTGGAGTACCAGACTACTGCAGTACTTGGTGAGGCAGGCTCTGGGTAGTAGAACTTCCATGTAGGATGTCCTTGGTAAAATCGGGTTCTAACATGTCACCAAAGGAACATAAAATTAGTGGATGCCTTTTTGTGTCAGCCCATCTACCTATCTGAAGAAGGGGGATGATAACAGTTTCACAGAAGTGTGAAAGAAATAAATACATTCAGATACTGTAATGATTAATACCTTAGAAAACCTATGAGTAAGGGGCTGTAAATTACTGCAGCTGGTCTTTAATACTGCTTAATAAATGGGACATGGGAGACAAAAAAATAAATACTTGCAAAGTGAATAGTCAGTTATGCTCAGGTATGAGGCAGGGGTCCTTTAATTACATTCTCACATCATAACTTATTCATAAAGACTGAATCACTCTTTCAGAATAGCCCGGGTATGGGTTTGTAGGCAATCTCGGTTCCAGCAGCTCCCAGCTTTTGAGCTACTCTGTGACTGACGTGCTCCGACACAGCTCTAATGGCCCCAGCAAGAACGCTGCTTTGTAGCAAAGTTATTACTACAGCTGCAGTGTGCAGTCTGATTTTAAATACAGAACTTCGAACCCCCTTGCACACGGCTGCAGGTCCGGTGAGACCCTCCAGCGAACCT